ATAACTCCATCTAAATGTATAGTTTAATATAATGAATGGGCTTACTCTCCCATCAAGGACGTAACTGGTTTCCTATACCTTCATATCAAAAAAATTGCAATATGCTGATATTTGGAAACCTTTGCAGACTCCAGGGATGCCGGGCTTCTGTTCTCCACCCCAGTTTAACATATTCTAAAGAAATTCCCTGTTTGGTTGTCCCAGATGTGCATCACAGCAATAATAATTCCAGTGATACACATGTATTAAGGATCTTTACTGGGGCAGCTTTTCCCGTTTTGTGCCTTTGAAAGAAAGACTACGTATCTCCATCACAACGATTGAGTTACGTTGAGGTTTAGAAGCGTTTTGGCACATAACAAAGTTGTTCTGCTCCTTTTTGAGAATGGGCGAAGGATCAGTACGAATAAAATGAACTCTCAGATTTGTAGGGTAGCACCTGATTTGTATGCAATTAGGAGAAAAATTGAGGAGATGGCTGTTGACAATGCTGGAGAACAGCTGCCAGCCAAGGAGGTGACATAACATGTCCATCTGTTAGCACATTCCTCCAGATGGTTAAAAAAAACTTCCCTGAAATGTTTTCCCCCCTCCTTTTTTTTCATGAAAGTTGGCCCATGTTCACCCATCACCTGATTAGCCTCATCAAATAAAACGCCTTGACCCAATTACACAAGACCTTTTGTATTATATTTCCAATACTGAAAAATAAAAAGAAGATTAAAAACAAAATTCTCTGCTTCTCTCTAGCTTTGCTGTATAAAATTAAATAGATTCTTTTTAGGTAGTTAATCGTGAACAGTCGCTTTCCCTTAAGTTGGGACACAGACCAGATTCCTTTGATTTGAGAATAGGCACCCTGGAACTAAGATTTAGTTTGGAATAAATATTACAAAATTGCACTAGGAATAGACTTCCTGAATGGGGTTGAGGACTGACTGGTGGAGAATTCCCATCATCCAATATTTATAGCCAGTGGTGGGATTCAGCCAGTTCGCACCATTTCGGGCGAACCAGTAGTTGGAAGGACCTGCTGGCCCTGCCCACAACAACCCGCCCCTCCCAGGAGTCTCCACACAGCCCGTTTTGGATGCCAAGTAAGTGCTGTGGAGGATCTGGGAGGGCAAAAATTGGGTCCTCCAGAAGTCTTGAAAATGAACCTGTTTCCGGCTTCTGGAGGGCTCTGGAGCCTGGGGGAGGCCGTTTTTGCCCTCCTGGAGACTTGTGGAAGCCTCTAGAGCCTGGAGAGGGTGAAAACACTCCCTACCCAATGTGGTGCAGGAGGCCGAGTAGGCCACGCCCACCCTGGCCACGCCCACCCAGCAACTGGGCAGAGAACGTAACATTTTAGAACCCACCACTGCTTATAGCACAATCAAATCATTCAATATGTTATGAGCCACTTGATTGGGGTACACTTCACAGCCTCTGTTCAGAAAAAAAGTAATTTTTCTCCAGGATTTTTGCACCTTTATTATTGTAGTTGTAGCAGTAACCTTTTTGTAGCAGTACTGCAACGCAAGTTGTTGTAGCTTTTACCTGCTTGTCACATACCCTCTTCGTTTTTAAGTAGCAGAACTTGTCTCTTGTCACTTTTGGGTACGAAATGGAGAAATGTGTTCCTGATTGAAATAAATTGATGACAATCTCACCACTCCTCCTGCTGCCGTGTTCTCACAGCTGGAGAAAGCGTGTGATACAAATCCAGCCTCAAATGGCATTATTAGGGTTTCTAAGCGTACACATACAAAGCTGGGAAGAGTTAAGAACAGCCTCTAAATACCGACAGCATTTCCTGGAGCAAGTGACGCTTAACAATTGGCCAAAAATTGCAATAGGCAGGGCAGACACGGAGAAGGGTAAAATAAACAGCTAGCAGAGAAAAAAGCCAGCTCCTTATTATTAATGCTAGCAGCATTTGTGGCACAGTACTGCTACAGCACACAGCAAATACTACACAGTTGGCCTCACAGCTGGACACTTGGAAAGTTCAAAAGGTTGTGCCAATAATAATATTAATAATAAACCACCCAGGCTCCTGAAGTTTCCTCACCACCTCCATGGAAATGCTTCTTCACCTGAAGACCTGACTTAATTGTTCTTACCAAGTTTCCCTGAAAATAAGACCTCCCTGGATAATAAGCCCTATCAGGCTTTTGAGCACATGCGCTACAATAAGTCCTCTCCAAATAATAAGCCCTCCCCAAAAATATTGCAACACAGCAGCAGCCATGAGGTGACCAAGCTCGCCGCCTCCCGCATCTCAAAAATAATAAGTCCTCCCCCAAAACAATTTTGCACTTATTTTGGGAGGGATGAAAAGAAAATAAGACCCTGTCTTATTTTCAGGGAAACAACGGTATATACTTCAAATTTGGTAGGCTAGGATTCTGGGAATGTGCCAGTAATTTAACACGAGGTGAAGGGAGCCAGCCTCATCAAACAATCATAAGCTCTGTTATCGAGCTTGTCAGTGGAATTCCTTCTGTGACAGGTTCAACCTTCTTCCATCAAAATCCCTTTCTGCGTTTGATTTTCCCACACAAAAACAATTGCATGTTTTGCTTTGTAATCACTTAGATTTCAGAAGCTTTTGAGCACCCAGTTTTGGTCACCACATAATGAAAAAGATGTTGAGGCTCTAGAAAGAGTGCAGAGAAGAGCAACCAGGAGGATTAGAGGGCCGGAGGTGAAAACATACAATGAATGGTTGCAGGAACTGGGCATGGCTAGTCTAGTGAAGAGAAGGACCAGGGGAGACATGATGGCAGTCTTCCAATATTTGAGGGGATGCCACAGAGAGGAGGGGGTCAAGCTAATTTCCAAAGCACCTGAAGGCCAGACAAGGAGTAATGGATGGAAACTGACCAAGGAGAGATTCAACCTGGAAATAAGGAGAAATTTTCTGACAGTGGGAACAATCAACCCATGGAACAGAGGTTGCCTTCGGAAGTTGTGGGAGCTTTCTCACTTGAGACTTTCAAGAAGAGATTGGACTGCTCTCTGTCAGAAATGGGGGTGGGTGTGTTGGACTAGATGACCAACAAGGTCCCTTCCAAATCTGTTAATCTGTTAAAGTTGGCTCTATGTGTGTGTTTTCCCTTCAAGTCACCTCTGGAATGGAAAAGTCCTTCTAAATGTGAGGCTGGCTTCCTTCCAGGCCTCAGGCTTCTAACTTGCTGCTACAGAATGAATTCTCTTTAAAATCTCAAGCCACATCTTAACCGACCAGTAAAGAAGGAAGACTCGGAAATTCTTGACGTTCAGGTTGGACAACCTTCTCAAAGTTCTCTGCAGAAAGGAAGGATGCTATCTGCAGCTTTGCCCTGATAAAGGAAAACAATCACTCACGCAACTCAAGAAAAACCTATAGGAACAAAAAGTGAGGCCAAGCCTTCAGCGCAAAGAAGGGTGGCTGGCAGATGTGAGGAGCAGCTGTCAAGAGCAGGTCTAGCCTGTCCCAGGAAGCCGGTTCCCGGTGATGGGCTGAAGGCAAGGGCACGTCGAGACTGCACAGAGATGTGGGGAGTGGCAGCAAATGAATCTTTCTCCTTACAGGCCAAGAGATCCTTCCTTCTGGAGGATGCCCCAACCTGCTTGCCAGGGTTACAAGCTTCAAGCCTTAAGCTCGGCTCACTGAAGCAGCACATTAGGTCTCTATTCTTAAACTCTAAGAAGTTTAAATTGTGCAGCTATCACTGTCCTTGGGAGTCCCAATGTTTACAGCAATTACTGGCTGCTGAGATCAAAATCTGAAGTTACCCCCCGTTTCTCTGAAAATAAGCCCTCCCCCGAAAATAAGCCCTCCCTGAAAATATTGCACCACAGCAGCAGCCACGAGGTGGCCACGTTCGTTGCTTCCTGCACCTCAAAAATAATAAGACCTCCCTGAAAACAAGGCCAAGTGCTTATTTTGGGGGTCAAAAGAAAATAAGACCCTGTCTTATTTTCGGGGAAACAGGCCGTAGTAGTAGCAAAAATTTATTTATTTAATTTACTTAATTAACTTGTATGCCGCCCACTCTAGGAAGACTCAGGGCGGATGGGAGGAGCTTTCAGTCTGTGGTCTCTTTAGCGTGGGAAAAAGAAGGAAACTGAAGGGAAGGAGGCAAGGCTATGTAAGGTAGGTAGACAGGTATTCCTCGATTTATGACCATGAGTGAGCCCAGAATTGTGGTCGTTAAGTTGTTGCTGTTGTTTTTTAAGCAAGGCACCCATGAAATCCTGGTTCTCCCCATTGCAGTCATTACACGGAGCAGGGGAGACCCTGGGTTGCTGAACAAATGATTGTAAGTCAAAGACCACCTGTATTACGCTGGTGACTTATTTCAGGTGTGATGCTAAGACGTTTTTTCTTTCCTAAGCCATTATTGGGGATGAGTCATCATTTCTAGGTACATCAACCATGGTTTGCAAACAGGGGTGAAATCCACTTACCTTCACTACCTGTTTGCAATGTGAGTACGCGCGTGCACGCTCCGCTCACACGCACCACCTCCACGCATGCGCAGGACCTTCCACACATGCTCAGAGCATCAAAAATGGACGTGATAACGTCCAGGTGGGTGGGCGGAGCCTGCTACTGAGCGTGCCTGCAAAGTTAAGTAGAACAGCGAGCGCGGGGGGGCGGGAATACGTTGTGCCACACGATTTAGATTTGCTAGAAAGCAGGAAATCCTGTTTTTCTAGCTAATATAAATTGGGCGTCACAGCTGATCATCAAAAATTCCAATTCGCCTGAACCAGAAGCATTTTTTTACTATTGGTGAACCGGTCCGAACCGGTAGCATTTCACCCCTGGTTGCAAACCACAACAGCTAGGTTCACACAACCCATGGAATCCCAAATCACATTCCAGTTTAATGGGAGCTACAAACTTAAGGTCCGAAAGCTGGAACTATCAGCTTATGAGTCCTTCTGCATTGTTGGAAAGAAAAAGCAATCACAACAGCAGGAGAGAGGGGGCAAAAAAAGCATCCAACCGCGAGTGATTTGTCTTTCCACCTTACTCTCCTGCCTGCACCATGGAGGGGGCTCCATTTTCTTTCTTCCCCGTCTTCAGAACCTGCAACCCAGATCAAGATGCGGGTGGGAGCTTTGCCAGCCCAGATGTGTAACCGGTTATCATGGAAAACAGGGAAGCCGAGTTGGGTATGTTTGCATAGCAACATCGCCCCATCAGCATTCCAGTTTCTAGCACACCTGTTTGAACCTGTTGTCTCCCTCTTCCCTTCTTCTTCTCCTTCTTCAGTCAAAATAAATAAAGGACATAAATAATAAGGTGTCACACCCCGTGGAAATGAGCAAAAGAAAGAAAGAATCTCTTGGTAAGACTCCCAGGTTTCTTTAAGCTTGTTCTACCCACTAAGCCTAGTTGAGGAGGTCTTTGTGCCAGCTGATCTTTTAACCCAGAACCCTTTCATGAAGGTGGTGGGGAGACATCTTCTTCCAACCTTCAACATACTTCTTCAAAAAAAGTAAATCATGCTACGGATGAAGAGAATCCATGGGTGGGAGGTGGAAATACTGTACATTGTGTGGAGAAATGGGCCAAAAGGAGCAGATTGCAAGATGGAGAAGCTTCTACTTCTACTTCTAGGTAGTATTGTTGGTTTAGGAAACTACGTGTTCATCAGACTGGCCAGACTCCCTGCTGTGTGGGGAAAAAGTGAAATGTCCGTTTGGAGCTTGGGTTGAGAAACAGAAGAGAATGGGATAGTTTTCTGGAGAAGAGACCTCAAAAAATTGAGGGTGCCATCCTAAGTGAACCTAGAAATGCAGATCCTTCAACGTTGACCTGCTTGCATGCTCTCTCTCATTCTCATTTCCCAAGTCCAAAATCTTATTTACAATGGCAAGGAAACATGCAAGGAGAGAGGGGGAGAGAAAGGAGGCGAGGACAGCAAAAAGGGGCCTTCTCCAGCATCCCCTTCAACCAAGGTAGACCCCGTTCTCAGATCGTCACACGTACATTGAAGGGCCGTGGGGTTCACCAAGATCTCTCGTATTGGTGTTTGTTTCATCTCCTTCCCCCACCCCTTCCCTCTCTCTAGCGCCCCACGCTGATGTTACATGTCTTGCAGCTCGGATCCTTTTTGGCATCGGCCGTCGAGAGGCTCATGAGCTGATGGCCGCTGATCTCTCCCAGAACTCCTAGACTGAGGTCAACTGGCTCAGTATAAATGATCTCCAGGATGACATCCTGGGCGTGGCGGTAGATGAGCTCGCCGTCCTCCACGCTGCAGGTCAGGAACTTGTTGCAGGAAATGTCCAACTGGGGCAGTCGCTCCCGGCAAAAGATGTCTCCTACAGAACCTTTGGGTGCCAGCACCAGAATGACGTAATGGTAGGCAGTGTACATACAGTAGAAATCCGCGAAGTAGAGGTTGGTGTTGGGACCAAAAAGGCGCTGCGCGGGCACCTGGAAACGGTAGCGGCCGTAAGGGGAGTCCTGGGGAGGTTGGCCGTTGTTGAACTCGGTATTGCAGCTGAAAAAGATGCCATGGAGCATGCCACTGGTGGGCGAACCGTGGCTGCCACTGTTGTCCTTCAAGTACGGCTTCATGACGTCTCCACAGTGTGTTCTGGCCAGAAGGGAGACACAGATAGTTAGGAAAGGGGATGAAGTTAGGACTCAGCTCAAGCTTACATTTGGGAGGAAACCCAGGTAGGCATTATGATAGGTTGATAGGGCTTCATAGCTATGCATCCACCGAGACCTTCCATTTTCAGGAAATGAACACTAGAGACTGTTCATTAAACAGTGGCTAAGAGCAGGTTAGGTGGCTTATGGCCTCAGATATCCTCCATTTTCCTAGCTGGGAGAGGAGAAATCAGAGTTAGCATGGTAATTAAAGAATTAATTTAAATTTAGAAGACCTGCATCTAAACACTAACTCAGCCACGTAGTTTGCTAGGTGACTCTCAGCCAGGAGCGATGTCATAGTTTACCTTTGCTGCAAGGATAAACAGAAAACATTTTTGAATCTATCCAAACACTACTAAAACTCTCCTCTCTACCTGGAACCTTTAACTGGACAAACTGGTGCAATGTAAAGCAAAAGGATTTCAACCAAGGAACTTCAAATACACTAAATTTCAGAATGCATCCAAAATCCAGGTCCCATGACTCCTTGGAATTGAAATTCGGCAAATTTAATAAAACATTTTGATAACATAAAAGCATCAACAATGTACAACACAATACAAAATGTCACAAATCATTGCCTGTGACGGCTGCTGATGTTTGACTGTGCTATAGAGTTGAATGCGGGCTACTTTCAAAGCAGATACCAGGGGTGGGTTCCGGCAGGCATTACTGCCGGTTCGCTCGTGGGCATGTTGTGCATGCGCACTTGATGTGCGCATGGGCAGTGCAATAAAAATTGTTCTGCACATGCGCAGAAGCAAAAAACAAGATGTTGGCACCTATGGTGGTGCCGGGAGAACAAGTTTGGGGGTGTGGCAGGCCTGGGCTGCTGTCGGTTCCAGCAATCCAGGCCACCAAACCAGTATTGGTTCGACCAAACCAGTCTGAACCAATAGGAACCCACCACTGGAACAGGGGTGTCAAACTCATTCAGATAAGTCTCTGAATATCTCCCTGAAATGTTAAGAACTTTCCAAGTCCATTAGAAACTCTGCTACCATTAAAAGCATGGAGGGTTTTTGTAAGGAAATATCCCTGAAACGATGACCCAAGGGGGCAAGAATTGCCATGACTTAAGTCTTGGAGGAAGGATAAACTACGATCACATTGTGTAGTGCAGGGGTTAGCAATCTGTGTCTCTGGAGCTGCATGTGGCTCTTTTATCCCTCTGCTGCGGCTCCCTGTCGCCGGTCGGCTCCACAATTGATAGGGCTTTCAGTTAGGACAGATAGAGGAGGAAAAAGGAGGCCGTGCTAGGAGGAGACTCTATGATATGGGAACCAGACTTCCAGTCTGCTCCAGAATTGAATGGGGGGCTTCCAGTTAGGACCGTTGTGGCTTTTTGAGTGCTTAAGGTTGCCAACCTCTGGTGTAGTAATTATGAGAGGTCATGTTATTTGCTACTTCTGGATCAGGAAAGAATGAATTCAATCTCTGAAGTTCAAAAGAACACCTGCAGGATGTTGTTGTGAAACGAAAGAAGCATGGGAAGGGGGAAGGGGGAAGACGGGGTGTCTTAATTCATTGGAAGGACAATCTAACATCTAATATCTGTGAATCAGTATGGGAACAATGAGGAATGTCAGCATGACTACATGTTCATTTCTCAGGGAGAATTTCAAACAAGCTTTAACTGTAAAAGATAAGAGACTTTTAGTACATTTTTAAAAACAGGACAATGGAGGAATATAAAAATATGGAGGCTATGATTAGCATTTTCTCAAAGAGGTTTCCTTCTTCCTGCTCCAAGCCATGACATCAGAAGACGATAATCTGAGCTGATATTCTCAACCTTGGCATCTTTCAGATGTGTGAAGTTCAATTCCCATTTTCCCCATGGCTGCGGAATTCTGGGAGTTGAAATCCACACGTTTGAAAGATGAAAGATACCAAGCACTAGATTGTAGATTACAGAAATGGCAACTGAAAGCACCTTGGCCAAATCTAGCTGATTTAATGAAGTCACTTCTCTTCATCTCTACCTCCCAGCCATGTTTTAAGCATAACTATCAGCAGCAGGAGTCTCCAACCTTGGCAACTTTAAGGCTTGTGGACTTCAACTCCCAGAGTTCCTCAGTCAGCAAAGTTGCCAACCTCTGGGAGGAATTCTGGGAGTTGAAATCCACAAGTCTTAAATTTGCCAAGGTTGGGGATCCCTGCTCTAAAGCAGTGTCACTCACTTTCAGCAACATTAAGACATCTGGACTTCTAACTCCCAGTTGTGGTGGCAGGAGAATTTGAGGAGTTGAAGTCCAGATATCTTAAAACTGCTGAACTTTTAAGAAACACCACTCTTTCCTTCCATGCCCTAACTCAGTGCTCTCCAAACTTGGCAACTTTTAAGACTTGTGGATTTCAACTCCCAGAAATTGACTCACTCAGCATGGTTGGCTAGCTGGCGAATCCCGGGAATTGAAGCACACAACTCTTAAAAGTTGCCAAGGTTGAAGACTCCTGATCGGGAGGGAAAGAATTTGGATGAAGAAGACAAGAGATTGGCAAACATGGCTGTTGGATGTCATTGTTGCTGACTCCCCCCCCCCATCCACATCTGGGTTCTCATATGCCTACATGGATTTTGGGGTGGGGGGGTGGGGCGGTTTGCAAATGCTTACCTGACGTACTGGAAATACTCTTTAGTGTGATTCCGATAGAAAACCATGAACCGCAGCATCCTCCCTGAGATGAGCTCAGCTTTCTCTTGCAGCTGGGCCAGATGTTCTTTTGCATAGTCTACAAGGAACAAACGTTGAGAGGTTCAGATATTTTAAAGCAGGTTTGTTGTGCGACACCTCTCTGTGGCAAACTTCTCCCCCGGCTCCCCTTCCACATGTTGCCTTCGCGTTGCTTCTTTTTGCCTTGAGGGGGTTTCTCCTGCCACTCTATCACTTCTCCCGCCTAGGTGGCACACCCTTCTCCTCCTACACAGCAGGGCTTGCTGAATGGCAAAATCTGGATTTACCACTTTTCAGCACCCCTCAGCCTGTTCCAATTCCCATCGGCTTGGGCCTTGTCTCCCCAGCCAGTTCAAAGAACTTTTTCTCCCTTCCTTGCACTTTAAGCTTTCTCTTTGATTTGTTTCTTTTTTCTTTGTCTCACTTTATATTGTTGTTAGTTGCAACCCATCACAACCCCATGGACAATGCCTACTGTTTCGGTGACTCCATCCAGCCACCTCATTCTCTGCCAACCCCTTCTTCTTTTGCCCTCCATTGTTCCCAGCACTAGGCTCTTCTCCAGTGAGTCCTTCCTTCTCATTAGGTGGCCAAAGTCTTAGAGTTTCT